TTCCCTAAATTCAGATCCATTACTGCTTCTGAGAAACTTTTCTCCTTGAAGAAGAAATCCAGTAGTGCTACTTCTGTACACTAAAGAATATTGTGCCTTTCCCTAATCAATAAAATCCTAAATGCAAGTGTCCCTGATGAGATGTGCCCAGCTGAGTATCTTTTATAAGCCTCTTCTCTTATGGAGGACAGAGAGAATTCCTATAAAAGGGAAGCCATACCCTGTCACAAATAGTAGTGCAAAATCAAAAACAGCTGTTGTGACATGATTGTATTATCTGTAATATTAAGGAAAAAATAAAAGGGGGTTTTAGCACATTCTTTGAGAGGAATTAGTGAGTTAAAAGAACCCATTACACCAGGCAAGGACTCTTCTTGTGCTCCTTTCCCTAGTATCTGAAAATAATACAATTGCAACATATTTATGCTCACTGCATCATGCAAAGTAGGGAAGGACTGTTATTCCCCTTTCTTCAATAGGGAAATGAAATGCACAGACAGAGGAATAGCTTTACCAAAGGATTTCAGTTCTTACAGCTGGATTCAGGCACCCACAGGAGGATCTAGGCAGGTCTATGTCTAAAATCTGCTTTCTCAAAGGTTCTTCTTTCCTGCTACCCACCTGCATGCACACACTTTAAATCGTTGTGTTCCCAAGGTATCTCAAGATCCACTTCTGGGCATGTCCAAAAGCACCTTTGTCCTGACGGGGATTGTGTGATCTGTCTGAACAGGATTCCCAAATGAGGCATTCTTCTCCCTAACATGACTTGCAGGCATGTTCAGCCCATGTCTATGTGTTTTCCGCAAAATGTGGTGGGAGATTTGAATCTAAGCAACATCAGGGCCTGGACTTGTGCCCAATTTGTAAACAAAAGGCATTATAGCAATGACTTGGCAAACCTTTGTCCTCACAGATAGATAGCTGGGGAGCAGCTCAGCCCTGGGAGATGACTTTCCAGTGTTATTAATTCTCTCAAAAGGTCCCGCTGTTTCTAACGTTGCCCAGAAGGGATGGGGGAGTAGGTTAATTACAAGTTGGCTCTCATTTTCACCTCAGTCTCCTTCTCGCTAACATCCACTATTAATAGACTTGCTTGACTTTTGCTATTACCTGATCCGATTTGTATTTATGTACAACATGACAAAAAAGGAACTATTGGGGTTGAAATTGTCCAAGGGTGATGTCTGCCTCAAGCAAAGGCAAAATAAAAAAGCTAATTCCAGTCAGTATTGGTTTTGAGTAAAAAGCCAGGGGAAAATTCAGTTTTAATAAGTAATAAATACCTTCCCTCACCATCCTTCCTCACCCCATCCTATCACTTAGCCTCATAGCAGCAACTTGGCGGGTGGTTGCTTTCATTTCAAAGCTGTACTTATCACTATCACATACATTGCCTCTTCCATCCCCACAAAAAATCTGCCCAAACTTAACCACATGAAAAGCATTTCAGAAATCACCATTCACTTATTCTTATTAGAGCCCTTCTCAAGCCTAACAAACAAACTCACACGCTCAAGTTCCTTTCTGTGCTGAGTGTTTTCAGATTGCTGGCTAGGATCATCCTTGCAATTATAGCTTCCAGCATCCAAATCTAGAAGTAGGAATCCCTCAAAATGAGCTTAAATTTTATGCTTTCTTTAGCTTATGAAGTTCTCCTTTCTTCCTGACATCAAATGCTTGGTCCTTGTCTTCCTACACTGTCTGGATCTGAGGGATGGGCTTTGCTTTGTGACTCAGGAGACCTGTGTGGTGGTCCTGCTATTCTGGTGTTGTGACAGAACTGGGGCAATTCATTTAATATCTAGGTATCACTCACCAATAAAAATGAACACACCTCAACTTAGACAAATGCTAAGAGGTTACACTTTAAAACTGCTGTGGGGATGTCTGATGCTCAAAGTATAAAACAAAAGCACCTTTCGAATCAGAGCCATACTGAGGTGGTAGACGGAGGAAAACAAGACGGAGAGAGCTGGCTGAGGTTCAAGCTGTTCTTTACATGGCTTCTTCCCAGATCAGATAACTGCGTTTAAGTATGAAAAATCAATGCTTGTTTTTTCCTCTGCCTCTTGGATTTGCTGCTGCTGGTGCCTGTCCCTGCTGCTACTCCTAGCATTGCCTGTTAGCAGCTGAATGGAGCTGATGCAACCCTCACTCATGACACCATTGTCCCAGGAGGGCAAAAAAGTGCCATGAATATGCACCAGTGTTTGTCTCTGTGTTCCTGAGGCCTTGGAAAAGTCCAGCCAAGTTTATCCTCTAGCCTTAAAGGCTGGAATGAATCACTTCAGAAACATAAATATTGGAAAATGGATGAGTGTCCTCTCCATTCGTTAACTGCAAAGAAATGCTTCTGAGCAGTGGGAAATGTTTTTTTCAGGCTTCCACCTTGAAGTAGTGCAAACCTGGGAAGTGGAATGGGTTAACTGAACTGGTAGTTCAGTTTGTAATCTTTCAATAACTATTGATATATTAAAAAGGAAAAGCTGGAGCACAGAAAAACCAAGTCAAAGATAACCTTCATCATTTGGACTTTCCTACCCATAATTTAAACCAGCTGCAGGAGGGACAGGGAAGTTCTGGTTTGGATATTTCTCAGGCTTACAACATCAAGGAGGCAAAATGTCAGGAAAACTGTCACAAGGGCATTTTACGCCGAAACTGTTACCTTGGGGAGTGACAAGAGAGTGGTGAGAGCTGTATGCTATTTATTATACTACAGAGGTAAATACAGGCCTCAATCCCTCCATCTCTCTGAGGGAGCCATTCATAAAGCTCAAAGGTAACCTGGGACCAGTAGAGTTTGAAAAACATTTTCAGAATAATAATAACAAACCCATCATCTCTCCAGCCCACATTCCCTTGTCAACAGCCAAAGGGTTTTGAATACAGCATCTTCCTTAGGGGAATGAGAAAATTAAAGAATAGCCCAGAAATGTCAGCAAGTTGGTGAGAGACAAAAATGAGAAGCTGAAACAGGAACAGGGCAGGCCTGAGCAAGTAGAAATAGAGAAGAAAGTTTAATAAATAAAAGAAATACTGCTTTACTTGATTTGTCCATTCTCAGTGTAGGTGGTCCTATAAAATCCAACCAGGGAACCATTCAGCCAGCCTTGAAACTTCAGGGTGAGTATATAGGGATCACTTTCATCAGTGACAGAGAGCTCTGCTTCTGCCTTCATCACTACGTACTCTTGCGGCTTGTACCCAAAGCAATTATTCAGGGCAATCTGCTGTCCTGAGGATTTCCGGAGTGTAGGCATTTCTGTAATCTTGGTCTCTCGCAGGTGGAGCCATAGGTAGCTGGTAGATTTTTCCAAAGCAATAGAAATATTGACTGTCCCAGTGTAAATGTCTGTCTCCATTTCAGGCTTCATTTCCAGATCATAGTGGACAGGCTTGACATAAATGGGTAGCCTAAAATGCCTCCAGTCTCCACTGTCATCATTTTTAGGAGGACAGGGACCCAAATCCACTGGGGGAGGAGGATTTGTTGGCTGATCTGTTCCCCCTGAAGGTTGCTGAGATTTAGGTCTGCTCAATCCCACACCAAGCCCCACGGCAAGGCCTACAACGACCACAACGCCACAGATGACAGCCACATGCTTTGTCTTCATGCAGTACCTCTTGGACTTCTCATCCTCAAAATCCATGCCCTCCATCTCTGCTCCCGGGTCTGTTCTTAGAGCAAAACATTAACTGTAAAAAAGCGTACTAGTCACTTCAGCACTTGCATTCAGTAAACTCAGCAGATTTGGTTTGTATTTTAATTGTGTAGCTATAGCTGTTCTCTGCCTGTCTCCCCCACCTCGCTTTCCACGAGACACTCAATTAATTAAAGACAACATGCATTTGGAGGAAATGTGAATGATCAAAAGGAGCGCGGCTGAGCTGGGAGACGGAGGGAACCAACACAGAAGAACATTGTTCCTGCCGTGCTCCCCTTATAAGCAGCACAACCCCACCCCCAGCCCCTCCTGCTCTGGCCTGAGTTAAATATAAACCAGTGCTATGTTAATCAGCAGTTAGGAGATGATCAGATGCCAAAGCTCTGTCAGCAGCTTTCAGAAAGAGTTTGCAGATAGAGGTGTAACTGCTCCAAACCCTCAACCTTTGCCACTACTTCTTCCTTTTTTCCCCCACTGTATCTTGTTTGGGTTTTTGAGGTTTGGGGTTTTTTTTTACTTTTTCCTCTTACTTGCAAAGATTTCCTCGAATTTCCACCCCATAGTTTGTGAAATGACATCTCCAAAGTCTCAAAAATCACATTTATCTTTCAAGGTTTTTTCAACTGTTTCCCCTCTTTTCTAGGCTCATTTACCTTTGCTGAGTAATTAGGGGCAGTCATGGGCAGAAGAATGCACAGTGGAACAATAAATTTTGATCACTGACTTCAAACTTTAAAACATGTCTAATTCCTTCCCCCACCCCCATACCCTCATAGGGTCAATTTTCCAGGAGGTTGCTCATAACCATGCATGCAAGCTGGTAGCCTGTGATAGCATTGCCTTGCTGGTCAGCACAATTACAGTACTGCCTGTGAACCCTTGCTGTAAGGGACACTTCTAAATGCAGCTATATGATTTACATACTAAAGATCTAATTTAGCATGTCATCACGATGTGGCGCTTCATTGAAACAAATTAATTGGATAGAGCCTGATTCTGCTTGGGGGAACTTATTGTAAGTAAGGCCTTGCTAAGCCTGCAAGCAAGATGTTGCTAATGCAGTATGAAACTGGGTACAGCAGTAGTCTTGACCTTGTCTGATGCTGAACTAAAGGAAAACAGTGTGGAGTAGAAACCTCAGTCCCCAGATCTCTTAACCCTTTTCCTCCACTTATGGGGCTCACTTGAGTAGATTTTTAATCAGGCACATCAATTTTGCTTCATGCCTCCTGTTTTAGTTTATTAGGAGACAGATTAGCGTCACTCTTCACATCAGTTACAACTCTCTGACTACTTAGCCTCTTTTTTTTAGTTTTTTTCTTTGAGATGGATGAAGTTTCACCTGTATGGGTTCACTTAGGCCCTAAAATCAGTCAACACATGTTCTGAATGAGATGCACTGAATCAGGGAATGAGTTTTTTCAGGATAGACTTAATCCAGTCTGTTTAGAAATGGATCTGCTCACAGGCTTTATAAGTCTCGCTTTGAAATACTGAAATATTGCCAGCCACCATGGGGAACTTTAGTCCCCCAATCCACATCAGCACTCTTACAGCACACTACTATTTATAAAACATCTTGTTTTAAAGGCAAGGTTTTCCAACAGGAACTGAGAAAAGAAAAGGTATTTTTGCAGAGCATCAAATTAACCCTCACACAGATATTTTCAAAAGTGAAAAACCAATGCAAAAAAAACCAAGCAGAAAGCTAAAAATCTGTTTCACATTATATCTGTTTTTATTGTTTCCCATTTCTCTGCTGTGATCAAAACTAGATATGACATGGGAAACCAGTGCCCTTTAATGGATTGGGTAAGAATTTAACTTCTAGCAACAGAGCCAGCATTGAAGATCACGGTCTTAACATTTAAAACAATTTCAGCTTTTCTTTTGTTCTGATTGGACAGGACAAGAAAAAAGAGCAAGAATAGATTTTAAATAAGACATCTTAAGCCAGAGCAGGCCATAAGTGATGAGATAGTAAATGTGTCTTGATTTCAGGCATGCTTTTTATATCAGTCCCATTTTCATTCTCCTTAACCATGAGGTTTTCTGTTACATTTTTAATCTGAAAATGAAAAATGCTGTTTGAGCTTATAGACTGCAGAGCAGGTTATTTTCTGTAATTATGAAGTGACTTGAAGATTTTTCACTGGTAACAATTACACTCTTCAGGAAGAGCTAGGAAACATGTGGATGAGCTGGTCTTAAATAGCAAAAATATATGTATTTCTTATCCTAAGCCTTAAAAACAACATAACAGCAAAAGCTATTACAAGCTAATGAGGAGTGACAAACAAATTAGCTCAACAAGTAGCAGAGATTATCGGTGTCTTCTGCCAGTCAAGAGCAGTTATACGCAAGCTTTAGCATTGATCTTCTCTTTATAAAAACTGTGGTTCAAGCCTAATTGCAGCCAAAAATAGGTATAATATATTTCTGATAGTGGTAGTTATGAGCAGACTTATCCTTCCCATATCAGAAATATGCTTTGTTCCTAGCTGACAACACTAGGGTCCCCTAAGAGCACTAAGAAACTGCCTAGCTGTCTTGGCAGCTAAGGACCAATGACCCAACATACATGTCCAAAGATAAGACAGGGCTCAAACTCATAATTCCTCTATGCAGGAGCAATAAAGGAGGGCTCCCAAAGGCAATTCTAGTGCTCTCCCTGCTTGGGGAGTGCTCCAGGTGCTCTACCAGTGCTCCAGGTAGAAAGAGGCAGGGGACAGGAATCTGCTTCCCCAGAGAAGAGAGCACCATGTCCTTCATCAACACGTATAGATACTTTGTCTACTCTCCCCCCATGGGCATAAGATGATGAATCCCCATATGCAAAGTGGAACCAAGCTCACCCCAAACTGCTCCAGCATAAACCACAAGCATGACTGCAGGCAAGTGCTGGCCAAGCTTGGAGGTGTTTAAATTGCTTTAGTTTAATTTCTAGAAAACTGAAAAGAGATTAAAACAGTTTTATCAGTCACCTGGAAAATGCTTGTATCTGCTATCATTTGTTTGGTGTTTATTTTTAATTGAAGCAATTTCACCTTAAGTTAGGATTTAGTTCTCACTCTGCACTAGAATTACTACACTAGCTTAACCCTGCCTCGTTGGCCACCTAAAATGGAGTGGGGTATGAAGTGACTCGACTCTATCATGACATTGCTGGTGCAGACGTGTACGTGCCTGTAGGAGCAATATCCAAGTATCTTTTCAGACAACTACCAGGAATATAAATGAATCCTAATTTTTATCCACAAGTTGTCAACCATTCATTTCCAATGTAATCTCCAATTTTATGTTCGGAAAATGGAATAAAATTTCCACAAGTGACAATGAGGATCAGCACTAGCACAGGCCTGCCGCAGGCACTCAGAGAGAAGTCGCATAGTCCCAGGAAATCCTTAACTGAAGCTGACAATGAGAAAAGAGCTGCTCTGGAAAGCATGAAAGACATGAAAATAAATTAATATATTAAAAAAAAAGAAACAATCAAACACCACTGCAACTCACAACAAATGAAAGACCTCTGAGCCAAGTCCATCCTCGGAATAATATGAAACACTTAGCTGGGCCTATGCCAAGGAGGTCTTTGGCTCCCTGTGTCCAGGGACATTAAGGCAACATGAGGGCAGCAGAGTCTAAGGACCTCTGATTTCCTTCTGTTCTCTGAGCTGCTCCTGCCATGAGATTTAGGGATACCATAATAAACGGAGCATCTCTGCCTCCATCAGGAGGAATTTGGCTCTCTTTATGCTAAACTAACACTCCTTGTTAGATTTGTCATTGCAAAAAAAAAAAAAAAGCATGAAGCAAGCTGCTGTAGTGACTCCTTTCTGGCAGAACTGCACTTGTAGATTTCTCCCCTGTGGCCCTCTATCAAAAAAGAGTTTTGGACATTAATTTGAGAAATGTGAAACTGGTTGTGGTGTTCCACCAGGTCACAAATGAACTGTGTCAGAAATAATTCCCTTGTCCAGTGTTTTCCTATGTCTGTGATGACTGAGTTTGTTTGCATCTTTGGCTTTGAACACCCTCTAGCAATCCTTAATCCCCTAGAGTTCACAAGACTTAGTAATTACTGGCTTGCAGTGGTCCTTGTTCCACTCACAATTTTTTCTGTGACAGTTTTTAACTACAAAACAAGTCCTTTTGGGTTTGTGTTGTTTGGAAATGCAAATATTTTGAATTGATTTGAGAAGGACGATCAGGGTTTCTTCAGTCGTAATTGATTCCCCATTTAGATCTTTGAAATCTGGCCCCAGCTGTGAGGTACTGTTGGCTGCGGTGCCTCGACAAGACTGCGTTATTTCCTGCTGCAGACCAACGAGCACCATAGATAACACAGCAGTTGAAGCACAGTGCAGTCCCACCACCTGTTCTGGGTTCTACTGTGTTCCCCCAGCAGGTCAGTGCTGGATGTTTTATTTATCACTAGGGTCAAAGCTAAAGGGAGTTATTTCAAAGCCTCTTCACAAGTAAGTATTGTGGGTTACCTTTAGTAGAGACTTTATTCCCTTTCTTTTTTTCCTGTTTCAAATTCCTGGATGTAGGTTCTGTGCCTTGAAATGTGAATGTCATCTCTTTCTTACACTGTTTATGTAAACAAAGCAAGCTAAACTGTATTCATTTGCTTCATTGTAACCTCATATCATATCACTTAATCTTCCACTGCACTTCTTCCAAGACGAGCTTGCTTGGGTTCTTTCGTTCTAATCATTAGTTTCTAATACAAAACCAGAACAGTCTGGATGCTGGTGAATACAGTTCCAACTTCCCAATTCTAACAGGTTTTATCATTTTTACATTTTAGTACCCTATTTCTTGTCAACACAGATCATTAAAATAGAGTTTATGGCTCTGCACTTCAAACTCTAACTTCCAATATGAAATGTCCTTTTTTTAAAAACATGCCTTAGGAGAGTTCTACTGTATCAATGAAATACAATTTAACTTACATGGACATTTTTTCAAACTCACTCAACACACATCTTGTTTAACAACTTCCTGAGCAAAAGTGAGAAAAGCAACAAGCTTTTACAGTGTAACCTCTAGTATATGTTGGGACACCAGCAGGCCCACAGGAAACCCAAATACTGCAGTTTAGAAATTCAATGGGAAATTCCTTGATGAGCTTCTGGAGGCATTTTATTCTCTTAGAATGAAAAACTTGCTTTCCACTCTTCACTTTTTTTTTGTGAGTGAGGGTGATACCTTAGAAGACCTCTCTCCACT